CCCCGCAGCTCCAGTCGCCCGCCTCACCTGCCGGCCGGAGGGGGCGGGCATTGTTCGCCGCCGCCGTGCGCGGGGCCATGGGGGCCTCAGGGTGCCCGGGGCCAGGCCTGGCGAGGACGCCCCGCCGCCGCTGAGGGCTCCGCGCAGCCGGGAGGCTCAGGTGAGCCGGCCGCGCCATGGTGGACCCCGTGGGCTTCGCCGAGGCGTGGAAGGCGCAGTTCCCGGACTCGGAGCCGCCGCGCATGGAGCTGCGCTCCGTGGGTGACATCGAGCAGGAATTGGAGCGCTGCAAGGCCTCCATTCGGCGACTGGAGCAGGAGGTGAACCAGGAGCGCTTCCGCATGATCTACCTGCAGACGCTGCTGGCCAAGGAGAAGAAGAGCTATGACCGCCAGCGCTGGGGCTTCCGCCGTGCGGCGCAGCCCCCCGACGGCGCCGCCGAGCCCGGCGCGCCCGCCCTGCGCCCCCCGCCCGCGCCCGCCGACGGCACCGATGCGCCGCCCTCCGAGGAGCCCGAGGTCCGGCCAGACGGCGAGGGGTCCCCGGGTAAGGCTCGGCCGGCATCCTCTCGCAGGCCTGCGGCTGCAGCGCCGGCAGAGCGGGACGACCGAGGGCCCCCCACCAGCGTGGCGGCGCTCAGGTCCAACTTCGAGAGGATCCGCAAGGGCCACGTCCCGCCCGGCTCGGCCGACGCCGAGAAGCCCTTCTATGTGAACGTCGAGTTCCACCACGAACGCGGCCTGGTGAAGGTCAACGACAAAGAGGTGTCCGACCGAATCAGTTCCCTGGGCAGCCAGGCCATGCAAATGGAGCGCAAGAAGACCCAGCAAGGCGCGGGGCAGGGCCTGGGGGACGCGCCCAGGCCGCAGTATCGCGGGCGCTCCTCCGACGGCAGCTGCGCCCTGGACGGCGACTATGAGGATGCAGAATTAAATCCCCGATTCCTGAAGGACAACCTAATCAATGCTAACGGCGGCAACCGGCCCCCTTGGCCGCCCCTGGAGTACCAGCCGTACCAGAGCATCTACGTCGGAGGTATGATGGTGGAAGGGGAGGGTAAGGGCCCGCTTCTGCGAAGCCAGAGCACCTCGGAGCAGGAGAAGCGCCTCACCTGGCCCCGCAGGTCCTACTCACCCCGGAGTTTTGAGGATAGTGGAGGTGGCTACACCCCGGACTGTAGCTCCAATGAGAACCTCACGTCCAGTGAGGAGGACTTCTCCTCTGGCCAGTCCAGTCGCGTGTCCCCGAGCCCCACCACCTACCGTATGTTCCGGGACAAGAGCCGCTCACCCTCGCAGAATTCTCAGCAGTCATTTGACAGCAGCAGCCCCCCAACACCGCAGTGCCAGAAAAGGCACAGGCAGTGCCAGGTGGTCGTGTCCGAGGCCACCATCGTGGGTGTCCGCAAGACCGGGCAGATCTGGCCCAGTGATGGGGACAGCACCTTCCATGGAGATGCAGGTGGGTACCTGGGTAGGCAGGACTCTATTAAGGAATAGATTGGCATGGGAGAAATGGGTAGTTTTTTGAGTGGTTTTGTAGTTCTTCCTGACATGCTTCTGAACTAACAACACCCCTTCCTCCTGAAGCCACATTCTGTGTTTGCAGTGGGACAGGGGGAGGAGGGTGGGGAGGAATGGCGGGTGGTGTCTCTTGCTTCTAGAACTAAAACATGTAGTTCTTGTGGGAGTATTGAAAGGGAGATGCCTTGTGCCCTCCTGGCCCTGTCATCTCTCCATGCTGGACAATAAAACCAGAGTCATCTCTGCCACCTAGATCAGATCCTTTCAGTGGAGTGTAATCTTTGCTCTGATATTCCCTCTTACCTAGTCATTCTGATCTTGGAGTGGTTAGTGATTATATGACACATTCAGGAAACCCAAGAGGTGCAAGTTGCTTCAAGGTCTTAGAAGTGTCAGGTTCACTTGTTAGCAAGTCAGAGCAGGTGAAGTTAGGAATTAGGAGGAAGTGAGGTGACTCAGTAGGCCACCAGAAATCAATAGGATGAAGATTTTATCTGGGGCTGATGCCAGCCCCAATCCTGATCTGCCTGGCTTTTGACAGGTTTCTCCCATCATTACTCACTCGTGGGCTCCTCTATCCACTGCCACTGGTTTTTGCCTTTCTTTTTCTTCTGTGGTGCAGGGGCTCAAACCCAGAGCCTTGGACACTGGGGCTGATGCCAGCCCCAATCCTGATCTGCCTGGCTTTTGACAGGTTTCACCCATCATTACTCACTCGTGGGCTCCTCTATCCACTGCCACTGGTTTTGCCAGGCATGCTGTACTACTGAGCTACATCTTTAGTCCCTGCCCCCACCCACGTTACTTTCTTATCTGCTAGTGTGCTTTTGCGTCCTCATTTTCCCAAGGTTGAGCACCCAAAAGTTCTTATTTGGGGCTCCCAATCTATGGTCTGACCCCAGCTGCAAGATTAAACCATAACTTCCTTGCTGCATTTAGTATTTGGGGTAATGGGACTAGGTTTTGAGATCCAGGAACAGTTTTCAGTTGAAGTAAGATGGGGGAGGGGGAGCTGACAGGCATTTGGGGATTGAGGCTGTCAGCAGTCTCTTGGAATCTCGTCTCTGTTGGGCTGATGTCTGGTTTTGTTTCATTGATTTTTCTTTTTCTCCTGATGGAGTTGCATATGCATCAATTGTGAGAACCCACTTGAAACAAGGGAGGCTATTTTGGGCTCTATTGACCTGCGTTTTGTGCTCAGGTCTCTGTCTGGTTTAGGTACCCCTGCTGCTGATTCTTTGGCATCTGGGTTGGCTGTGCTGTGTGACCTGCCTGCACCCTGGCTCAGCTGTATTCCTTGTCTCTAACGCAGGGATGAGAAGCTGTAGGAGTCAGAAGCTTGCTCTGTACAAAGGCGCATCAGTCAGCTTCTTCCGGGTTTGGAGGATGGCCCCGGGGATACTGGGCACTATCATTGTCCAGCCGGTGCCAGGTGAACCCACTTGGGCTGGTGCCCTGGTGGCTTGGAAACCTTATTAATAAAAACATGAGGGGCTTTCATGGAGACATGCAGTCTGATATTTCTCTTGCTGGTAGGGAATTCTGAATTCCCAGGAAGTTAAGTCCAGCCTTCCCTACGCCTCCTGTAAGGGAGGCCATATTACTTTCCACAGTCAGACCCTAGTGAAAGACAGAGTAGGTGAAAGTCGGGATAAGAAGAAGGGAGGCCCAGTGAGAGGTACATAGGATAGTTTCTCCAGAAATAACTTAGAAGCTAATTTCATAAGTTTTAGAACTTTCCTGATCTTTCTCAAGGCCCCACCATGTTTTCTCTCGTATTTCTTTTATTTTGTTCTCTGAAACATTTCTCTTATTACTGTTATTTTGAGACAGGGCTTCCCTATGAAGGCACGTCTGGCCTAGAACGTGCTGTGTGGACCACTGTGACTGCTATTGGCCTCCAGCTTGCAGCGACACTCCACCTCCTGTGTACTGGGGTTACAGGCATGCTCTACATACTTGGCTTTTCCTTTCCCTCAGACAACCCCCGACACCACCCCAGACAGGGTCTCACTTTATGTCGTCCTTGCTGGCTTGCTGGCCTAGAACTGGCTACTTAGACCAGGCTAGCCTGGAACTCATAGAGCTCCACCTGCCTCTGCCTTTGCCTTCTGAGTGCTAGGATTAAAGGAATGTGCACCACCCCCAGCTACCTCAGTTATACTTTTTCTCTCTCTCTTTCTTTCTTTCTTTCTTTCTTTCTTTCTTTCTTTCTTTCTTTCTTTCTTTCTTTCTTTTTTTGGTCTTTTTGAAACAGTCTTCCTTTCCTGTAGCCCCAGCTGGCCTGGAACTCACTATGTAGACCAGGCTGGCCTAGAACTCACAGAGATCTGCCTGCCTCTGCCTCCCAAGTGCTGGGATTACAGGCATGCACCACCATGCCTGGCTCAGTTATTTTTAATAATTAAGGTTGAACAGCACCGTTTAAAAGATTTAAGGGCTGAGGTGTGTGGCTAATAGCATGTTTGTTAATGTGTGTGTGTGTGTGTGTGTGTGTGTGTACACCACTGGGTTCAACCTCTAGTACCATAATAAATAAATGATAAAATGGAGCATTCATGAGGGGTTACATTATTTCTCTCAGACTGGTTTTTTGTTTTGTTTTCTTTTGTTTTTTTCGTCTTTTTTGAGACAGGGTCTCCCTGTAGCCCCAGCTGTCCTGGAACTCACTATGTAGACCAGGCTGGCCTTGAGCTCACAGAGATCCCCCTGCCTCTGCCTCCTGAGTACTGGGATTAAAGGTGTGTACCACACCCGGCTATCTCGGACTGTTTTTTAGGAGTTAAATTTTTCAGCACACTTAGGTTCACAGCATTACTGAATGGGAGGTGTGGCAATTTCCCACGTGCTCCCTGCCTCCACTTCTACTGCCTTCTCGCTTCTCCGTTATCAACATCCTTTCCTAGAAGGGTACATTTGTGACATAAGTAAACCAACATAAACAACATCATTTTTACCCACAGTCCATAGTTTGTGTTAGAATTCTCTCTTGGTGTTGTACATCGTGTGAGTTTAGCTCTTTTTCTTTTAAAACTCCCGGTTGTTTTAGCCCAGATTGCCCAACAGTCTCCTCTGCGGTGAATCTTGTGTAGCTGGGAGGTGAGAGGGTTCCTGCCCAGCTCAGCCATCTGTCTCTGTTGGGATTGTTTACTGATGCTCTTTAGATGGCTGTGGGGCCCACTGGCCTAGAAGGAACAATGAGGAAAATTACAGTGTGTATATATAGGGTGGGGGAGGGGACACTCTAGTGCTTGTAGTGGCAAACACGGTGGCCTGCTCTTGCAATTTTAGAATCCATTTAGATAGGTTGTGTTCATATTTCTGAGTTGAGGGTTGCTAGTTTTTAAGGGAGCTGAAACCATTACACAGTGCTCTGTGCCTGGGCACTATGACAAGACACTTCATGCATGAGCTCTTCTTTTGGGGCTGTCCATTTACAGGTAAAGATGTAACCAAGAAGTGTCGACCCGAGATCCAGGGGCCCATGTCAATACAGAGCCTCACGCCCTCTGGCACATGGTAGACAAACCGAGTTCTTCCTATCACCCAGTACTTCTACCCAGAAATCATGACTGGGTTTATTCATGTCTTCATTCAAGACTTCTAGTCTTGTACATGGGGGCTCATTGCTGAGGATGATAACAGCCAGCATGGGCCCTGCTCCATGCAGAATCCTTCCCTGGGTCCTGTGTAGGTCACAGAGAAGGTTAAAGAGTAGTCCTTGCCATCTTGTCATCTGGAGGCTTAGAAGGTGAGGGAAGAGGAATGCATATGTACATGCTTAGAGGGAGCGAGCAGGGATGCTTACAGCTTTCTTGATTCTGTCCAGCAGCCACAGCTGTGGGGAACTGTCTGCTCAAGAGTGGAAGCAGAGGATTGGGGTTACCCATATCCATCCTCTGTGACTCTGAACTCTGTGTGTGAGGGTGGGAGGGGTATTATTGAGAGGATCTCACCAGGCTGGGCTTAAACTCCAGGTCCTCCAGCCTCTACCTCCCAAGTGCTGGGATTATAGGCATGTTTTTTAACTATCAAATATACATGATGTAAAATTTACCATTTTAGTGAAGGTGGCTGAGGCAGGAGGATTGTGAGTTTGAGTCCTGCCTGGGTTGCATAGAGAGCCTATCTCAAAAATCATGTTTAAAATCAGATTAGAATCTTTTAAATAGAAACCGTTTATTAAGAAAGGGAAAGCACTTCTGGGAATCAGAGTGAGCTAGGGAGCTGAGGGAGAGGCATGTGCTTAAAAGCCAGGATTCTTTCTTTTAAAAATACTTAAAATATTTACGTACTTGGCCTGCTCTGACCATTTTTTAGGCATAGTTGTGTGGCATTGAGTACATTCATATTATATAACTGTCACTATCACTCAAGTTCTGTTCCTGTTCAACAGTAACTCCCCATTCTACCCCTCCCAGTGTTGACACCCCATCTTCTGTTTCTTCGAATGTGAAGGTTCTAGGTTCCTCACATTAGTACAATCATACAGGATTTGTCTTTTTGTGACTGGTTTATTTCTCTGTAATGGCCTCAGTGTTCACCCATGTCATAGCATGGA